TATATATATATATATATATATATATATATATATATATATATATATGAATGATTTAATCTAATTTCATATATATATATATATATATATATATTAAAAAACGGACTTGTGATATTGAGCACTTTGACATATAAATATAGCATACATTGAAGCAATGAGTTTATCATATAAAGGGTGTAATCTTTGAAATTGTTCGCTGTTCGCGTTATTAATATTTTTATATTCTTTGTGTGTGTGTGTTGTTTGTGTATATGTGTGTGTGTGTGTGTGTGTGTGTGTGTGTGTGTTTGTTTGTTTGTGTGTGTGTATATATATATATATATAGAAATTTCTGACGATCGCTAAAGGTGAAACCCAGGGTCACAAACTCACATCTATCCAACCAAATATGTTAGCTCTATCTCTGATATTGAGCGCTTTCTAATAAGTACCGCGCATATAATATATAAATAATTATACATATATATATATTTATTTATATTTATATTCACTTTTCACATATATATATATATATATATATATATAAGAAACCTCATTACATTCCGGGCACACATGGTAGATTTTGGTTATTTCTAATACAGTAGAATTCCTCATATCCGGAATCCCTAATATCCGGAGTGCCTTATCTCCGGAATCCCGCATATCCGGACATGATTTTGATGTGTATATTTAAACTATTTGGGAGATATGTAACAGATTTGAAATTTTTGTTTTTCAGGAAATTATTTTTGGATAATTCACCTTAATGGCTTGTATTGGTGCAAAAGATGATGGGAGCAAGAGGAAAGGATGACAACGAGACACATCTGCAACAAGATAGCAACGAGATGCATGATTGTGATGAAACCTGGACTGAAATTGAAAAAGCTATTGAAAGGTTGTCAGTTTTATGGAAAGAAAGCCAGCATTCAGCTATGACGATTGCAATAACGCACGCAGAGTTAAAAAGTGTATTTCGTTTAAAAAATTTCAAGAACAAAAGTAAAACGAAATGCAGAAAAAGTTGAGAATGACATTAGAAGAGAAAGAATCATCATGCAACAGCGATTAAAAAATCCTCGTTACATTATTTGTTTTGCATATGTGGCATACTTAATTTAATGAATTTTCATTAATATTACATAATTTATTTCTTTTCATTCCTTAAAATCGCTTCGGTTATATTTCATTCACTATTGGCTTATATTGTTTACTATAAAGCATTGAAAATAAATGTTAAACCTGATTTCAGCTATTTTATTTTAATCTAAATATAATCCCTTATATCCGGAATTTCTATCAAATTCCTCATATCCGGACTTTGTAACAAATTCCTCAAATCCGGAAAACCTTCTTAGTCCGGCTGTATTGATAAAGTGCTATATTTTCATTCTTTTCATGTATATTTACTAATTTTGAGTCTGACACAAGACTACAGAAATGGAGCTTGGCTGACTAAAATGAGATTAATAAATACGACGCCGTACATGTTCTCGAGACTTTTCATTTACGGGCTTTTAAGTTCAATAATCTGACAGCATTAGTCAGAGCTCGTTTTTACATAATACAAAAGTGGGATGTATTGATCGATAACAACACCAAATTATGTCCCACTTATAGAAAGTGATGTACCTTTAAAAATAACTACAGTTTATTTTCTTCATCTCGTTTTTATTTTGATTTCTTTATTGTTTCTCTAAATTTTTTTTTTTTTTTTCATTTTTCATAATTTTTTTTCGTAATATTTTTCTGTCTTCTCTTTTAAATTTGCCGCTTTTCCTGGTACTTTTATAAAATTTAATGACTTTTGTCTGCTTTTCCGTTCATATTTTCTTTTCTCAAGTTAAACACATAGACATTAACAGAATGAGATAGATAGATAGATAGATAGATAGATAGATAGATAGATAGATAGATAGATAGATAGATAAAAAGAACACGATGAGATAGGTAGATGGATGGATTGATAGATAGATATGAACAAACAAACAGATAGATAGATAGATAGATAGATAGATAGATAGATAGATTGTTATACAGTTAATATTGAGAATCAGATATTTATATGCATACCTACTAAGATAGATAGATAGATAGATAGTTCAGTTATATAGTTAATGATAAGAATGAGATATTTATATGCATAGCTACTGTGATATATATATATATATATATATATATATATATATATATATATATAGAGAGAGAGAGAGAGAGAGAGATAGATTCGAAATAGATAGATAGATAGATAGATAATGAATAGATAGATAACTGTTGGAAAGTTATAGTTAATGGTGAGGAATGGGATAATATTTATATGCATACCTACTGAGATAGATAGATAGATATGAAGAGACTAAATGGATATATATGTATATATATATATATATATATATATATATATATATTGAGATATACAGAAAGAGACACAGAGAGATAGATAAAGAGACAGAGAGATAGAGAGAGAGATGAAGAGAGTAAAACAGATAGACTGTGCAAACTATACAGAGTTAATGTGAATGAGATAAATATTTATATGTATAACTAATGAGATTTTGAGATAGATAGATATGAAGAGACTAAGTTAGATAGCAAGATACAAATGAAAAGATTAAAACAGATAGATAGATAGATAGATAGATAGATAGATAGATAGATAGATAGATAGATATGAATTGGCTGAGATCGACTGATCGATAAACTATTCGAGTTATATAGAATTAATTATGAATATGAGATAGATATTTATATGCATAATTACTGAGATAAAGAGATAGATATGAACAGACTGATATATATATATATTTATATATATATATATATATATATATATATATATAGATAGATAGATAGATAGATAGATAGATAGATAGACTGAGTGTATGTATAGTTTTTTACTTTAAATCAATTTTTATCCCACTTGGCGTCTCCTTGTCTGGAATGTACGGAAATCTAGCAAGCAATTTCTAATCCTACCCAGGTGGGAGAGTCCTTAACTTTCGGATCAGAGTGGATTCTGAAATAAAGGGAAACGCGAAGACGTAGAGTATTTTTGGGGTGCTTACGTAATACGGGACCGCCATGTCTGAATATTCGTTTGGAATATTTGGACTGTACGCGCAAATGGAGCATCACGTGACCGCGGGCGGAGTTGATTCTGACATTGGAAAGCAAAAAAAAAAAAAATGAATGTTTTAGAAAGAAATGAAAAAAAAAACGTTGGGGGATTTAAAAAAAAATCGTTAAATAAATGCATAAATGTAATGGCATAATGTTAAGCTGGGGGTCAGGAAGAACAGAAATTTTTTCTAAGTGCCGTATCCCTTCAAGACATGACTCTCCACAGCTTTCTGTCTTTGCAGCTTTTAGTAAATTTTGTCATGTTGCTATGTCTCCAAATCCCTGTTCTGACAACCATTTACACGAGCTCCTTAGGCAGAAGTACTACGCTGTTTTCCCGAGTCTCTTTTGCCTTCATACTTTCTTCTGAGTATCAGCATCTCCAAGCCTTCTTTTCTCAATATGTGCACTAGTAATTTCAACTACCTTTTTCTGATGTAAAAGCGTGATTTTTCGTTTCAATCTTTCTTGAAGATTTCTCGATAATTTTATGTTCACGCCATGATATTCTCATCATCCTTCTGTAGAACCACATTTCTCTTGCACCAGGTCTCTTCAACATCTGTGAGGTGATTGTTCAGCATTCACTGCCATATAGGAGAACCGATTTACATAACAGTTCGGCACTCTTTGTTTCCAACGAAATTTTCCTGGTTCTTAATACCTTGCTTAACTTTAGGAAGGCATTTTTCGCTATGCCAATTCCGCCATTGTACGCTCCGGCCTTCTTCAGGTGGTTGGAATGTCGAACCTAACCCTTTATTTCGCTCACTGAGGTAAACTGTTCTAGTTCTACATGCCATGTTTAATGGATGTCAGTTATCAGTTATTTTCTGTTAATTCCCCTCTCCAAGTTCTCCACTGCCTTAACCGGATATTGAACTCACAATCTGGGTCACTGGATCTAACCAACACCTTTATCCACTGTGTCATGTGTCCTCAAGTAAAATGTAAATAAATTCTGTCACATATACTGATCAGACAAACCAATTTCAACAAATGGGATTTTGTATTTTATACATCGGGATACTGTCAAATAATTTTCTTTCTCAGTGTGATTTAAAAATGTATCTACAATATTAATCTATGAAAATATTTCCAGTTCTCTCCTTCCAAATCATATCTTTTTTTTCACATCTTTGCATCTTCTTACAATTCTCCAAGATTCCAGCATTGATTCGCAGACCCACAACTTCTTTCAATTCCATCTTTCATATTTGCATATTCTTTTAGTTCGTTAACTTCCCAATTTTAATTCACATATATGCAGTTTCTTTCAGTTCTCTAAATTTTCAAATTTGATTCACATATTTGTAACCTCTTTCTCTTAATTTTCTTATTTTACTTACATTATTTCATTCTACTTACTCTTCTTTTCTTAATTTACTAATATAGGCATTTTCTTTCACTTCTCTAACTTTTCAATTTTCATTCACATATTAGCAAATTCTATCGTTTCTCTAAACTTTCAACTTTAATTCACTGATATGTAACTTATTTCAATTCTCTCAAAATTTGATTCACATATTCACATCTACTTTGAATTCTCTAACCTTCTAACCTTCTCAAAATCGTCATTTTTATTACTTCTGCAGAAACTTTTTTATGACCCGACGAACAGACACTTATTTTTTAAGGCTTATTGATTCGTTTTCGAAGGCTTATCAACCTTTTGAAGGTTATTTAAAGCCAGAAAATATTTTCAGGTGGTAAGAAATTTTTTTTCTTTTTTTTTTAGATAATACAGTTTTTTTTTTCTTTATTGATACAAGTTTTACTAATTAACCCATAGTTGGGGAAGA